TGTTTTTCTCGTTGCCATGTTCCCACCAATAACGTAGCTCCATTTTCTGCCTTTAAAAGCACACACAACCCACAATTCCTCTATTCGCTCCGACGAAGGGCTAACGCTCGAAACGTCAGCTTTTGTAATCGTTACGGTGGCCAATTTACCATTTCAACTTTGTTGATATATCCAAATCTACATCTAAGAGTTGTTGAGAGAGAAATTCTGAAAAAACAAACGACCCTCCGAACGAGAAATGTTAGCGTGGGTTTCAATGGGTTACTTGTAATGCAGCTCTTGCCAACCGGTGGTAGCCGCACTTTACGAGACGAGTCGCTGGAAAAACAGCCCAGCGGAGAGAATTTTTTAACTATCTAAGTTTGGTTTAATTACTTCCCTAAGTCCTCCAGCGTTATGTAGAGCGACCATAAAAAGATAGCGATTGTTCCTTCCCCAATAAGGTCTTGTGCTTTTCCTTTACATAGGTTAAACGCTTTTTGATTGATTGTGGTATAACCAAACCCAAATGAATGACAACTGCCAATCAGAAAAAAAGATTGACATTCAAAAACCCACCAGCTCGTGACTATTTTGAGATTTGCATTTCATTGGTTGAGAGGATAGCCAAATCATTCTAGGCCAATCAAACAGGGCAAACAATGAAGTAAAATTAAATTACTAGAGGAACTTTTCCTAGCTGACTTTTCATTCTATCGCGCTTTATTTTTTACTTTCAGATATTGATGAATGCGCCCTTGAGGGTCAGTGTGTTGCTGGAACGTGTATAAATTCGCCTGGGAGTTTTCGATGTCAGTGTCCTCGTTATTACGAATTAGATAAATCGGGCAGAATTTGCAAAGGTAAATTTCTTATAGGTAATCTGCAGATCAAAACGATATAAAATTAAGAAGTTTGGTTATTGTCGTAAATAAGTAAAAAGAGTCGAAGGCATTGTGTAACCAGCGTGGCACTACACTATGGGAAGTTGGCAATGTAAATTTCTCCATGATTATCTGTTTAGTTTCCTTCATAGAAATTCACCTCCATGCCTTTGGCCTGAAATTTAAAAACAAATATGAACTGTCGACTTCGCTCGAAGATAGCTATCGATGATTAAAAACCTTTCAACGTTACAACTACCACATTCCAATGGCAATCGATATATTCTTGGGTTATGCAACCTTAGCTACTGTTTTTGACGGCTACGCGATCTTCCTTGACAAGCCACGATCACAGGTATGTCCAATCGATCGATAGCCATTTAACTCTGTTACTCGTGTAAATGTGACCGTGTTATTGCTTAATTTTCAGACAAAAGAACAGGGCAGTGTTGGACGAAAATCATGAACAGTCGCTGCGAGGAATCCATTAATGGCGACGTTTCGTTAGAAATGTGTTGTAACACCATAGGTAAAGGCTGGGGAAGTCCCTGTAAAGAATGTCCTCCCAGAAAAGGAGGTAAGCGATATATGTTTTATTCGTAGCGTCGAGAGGCACATCCTAGTTTCCCTCCGCACTTGCATTCCTTTCTCATTTTTCTCTTTTCTTACCTTATTTCCTTTCCACTTACCATTGTATCACCTGTGGGTTGATGTATGAACAGATTGGATCTGTGTTAAAGATCCTCACTCAGGCAGGCTTTAGCGATACTTGAGTAAAGTGACGCAAACGGAACTAGAAATTTCCCCCACTCGCGCCTCTATACCCCAACTGACGTTCATAACACGTCATTAAATCTTATGTGCTATCGAGCGTCACGGCCCCATAATTTGATTTTAATTCATTTTTTTCGCAGATGAACGGTGCGCTCTGGGGTACGCCATTCAAGATAAACCACGGTGTACAGGTAATTAAAAGCAAAGCCTTCCCTTGAGAACTAGAAAGTTATAGAAGAGATTGTAGCCATAACAACCTGCGATGGGTTAAGTAACAATATCAAATAAAAATATCAAATCAAATTAGCGCCGCCCGGTTAGCTCATGTTGTAAAACTCCGGACTACCGTGCGGAAGGTTAAGGGTTTAAGCTCTAGACCGGACCAACACTCAAATAACGAAGGAGAATGTGCTGCCTTAAAGAACCCACGCACTTATCGCAAAGACGGAGCAGGGAACGTAGCTCCCGGTGTTGGGGTCTGGCCTGTTTACTTAAAATTAGGGGGCATCTGTTAGATTTGCCCTTATTCGTTGTAAACTGCCACAAGCAGTCTGGTAAAGTCCCCTGCACAGTACAGTGTTGTAAGATTGGCCCTAATAAGTCCCATGGGGAGTGGTCTACTAACCTATGTATGTATGTACCTACCATGATTGACAATAATATTAAGCTACTTTTATGGACGTCCTTAACTTTTGTTGTACTGCTATTCCTTATCTCTGAAAAAGTGCAAACAGAAGTAGAAGTCAAGTATCGCAGTGAAAGTTTGATTCATTTGATATCTGGGCTAATAAAATTGAACCAAAGAAAAATTTATCTAAAGAAGGCACTATTTTCATCCATTCCCTTCTATTAAGTAGCATATTGACTGCTTTGCAGATCTTCACTGACACCTTTTACAACTGATGGGTGACGGGTTTTTTAACCAACGATCTTATTAAATACGTGCACCCTTTAACTGAAGGTAGTTATCTTTGTATTTGTGGTTTGCAGACATCGACGAGTGCATCCAGTTCCCTGGCTTGTGTAAAAATGGAATCTGTCGTAATACTCTAGGTAGCTTTGTTTGCGAGTGTTCTGCAGGCTTGACCTTGGACTTTACACAGAAAAACTGCGTGGGTAAGTAAAGGGTTTGTCTTTATGGTAAGGTGGAAACTGTTGGCAAATACCTCTTGCAAAAAATTCTAGTACGCATGATCGTATTCCAACCTATCCTCTTTTAAAAGGTTATGTGGGCGTTAACGTTCAGCTCTTTCCCGAGTTGCTGATTTCTTTTTGATGGCTAAGAGTTATAGAATGGAAATATCTATGGATCTTAACCAGCTACGACTGGAGAAACCACTGCCCAGCTAGTGCAGCGTCACTGTTTGCTGGGGCAGAATTTGGGTCAATCTGAATAGACATTATCATATAATCGTTAAGATCACTATTATCATTCAAACCGTCTTCTTAGCGATCGCAGTGACCTCGAAAAACAGATTACTTGGCATTTAGGCTTAAAACATCGTATATTTCGTTGATATTACCAAAATAATGGCAACAATGAAATTACTGTTGGTTTTCTCCCAGATCTACGGGAGGACGTGTGTTACGGTTCTGTCTCCTCCAGTGGCTGCGAGACGCCCTATCGCGGAAGGTACAAGAAAGTAGACTGCTGTTGTTCTAAGGTGGGAGCAGGCTGGGGTAATCCATGCCAAGAATGTCCCTTAGAGAACACAGGTAAATAAATATGGACAAGGCAATAGCAGGCCTCCCGGTTAGCTCAATGGATAGAGCGCTGGACTGATGTGCGGGAGGTCGAGGGTTCGAAGAATATGCTACCTTTCTATAACATCAAGAAATGGTTTAGATATTCTAGTCTTCTCGGATAGGGACGAATAAATGGAGGTCCCGTCTCCTGCAGGGTTAGGGGTAGGAGACGTTAATTTCCCACGCACGAGATTACTGTGTGATGGATGTCCTCCCCTGGGGTGGGATGGGTGGGTTGTTGCCTTGCGTTTCATATATGAGCCTCTGGCTCGGGCAATATGGTAACCATGCCCCAGGTAAAGACATTAAACTTTGATTACTATTACTATTACTATTACTGTTACTAAGATGATGAACCTTCAACCTTCTCAAAGTGCCTTATCTCTTCCAAATTATTATTTGATTTCTAGTCTCTGTCTTTTATCAAAAAAATATATATTATTTGTATTTCGTGTGCTGCCTCCTTGTTTTCGGCGTGTAGAGTAAATTAACGTCGCTCGAGTTTCCGAGTTTGAATAAGAAAAATTTGAGACATGCAAAACAAGCCATTCTAGATCCTCTTGTTGGGAGAGACCTATGAATAATTTGCGCCGGATTCCCTTTGTAATCATAAAATCGGGAAGCCAATCTCTGAGGTCGATACTCTCCTGGAATAATTAAGTGTAATGTCTTATCGAGAAATCTTAGAGACTCAAAATATTTTCGACCAGTTTACTGTGCGGTTCCAACAAAAGCAGCGGCTCTTGGAAAAAAAGGGCTATCCTAAGGGGACGTTTACTTTCAGAATTTGCCATGAATTTCTAAATGTTACTCCTTCTCGGAGAGTAACGCGGGTGCCCCATGTAATCAAAATTTTTAAACCGGAGGGAACTCGGATTCAGGATGAAGAAGCTATAATAACTTTTTTCCCGATGTTTCGTGGGGAGGAAGCTGACAGAGAAACCGCGCGTGCCTGGGCAGCCAAAAGCTGGTTTGTAACTACGACTATGTTAATTCATTTAGATCCGTTTGAAGAACTGTGCGGCAACCGAAGAAAAGGATTCAAGACAGTTGATACTCTGACTGGACCGAGAGTTGAAGGTCACTTTTATATATCATGAAAAAGCCAGGCTTTCTAATAAGTTTTATTTTCATTTTCGCCATTTCGTTATTCCATTGTAAGCTCATCACAACCATTTCCGTTTTCTTTTTATGAAAGATATAAACGAATGTGCGATTCAAGGCATTTGTAACAACGGACAATGTGTAAACGCACAAGGAGGATTCCAGTGCGAATGTACACCAGGGTACGCCTTGGACAGCGAGGGAAAAGACTGTTTGGGTAAGGAACACTTGCTACCACCCCGTATCCTTTCATTCATACCTTGAACCTTGAACGTTGATCGTTTCCTGGAAAACGAGTTTTCCTAAAGTCTTCAAGTAGTTGGTGTCATGGCAGCAAAAACTGAGTTAACGATTCTTTCACGCAAGACAACGACCTCTCGCGAATGATAAAAGCTTTTTCATTCTCTAAAGGGTCTAGATAAAATTGTCCTTGCAGGCTCCTCTTTCTCATACAAGAAAACCCGACTGTCACGTGACCTCCCCTGACTGTTTGTATCGGTGTTAAAGCCTTAAAACATATTCAAGGAAAGATAAGCACTGAGAGCGAGTTGATTGATCAACATGTGTCTCTACTACCGTTTTGCAGATATCGATGAATGTCGAATTTCTGCGGGAATGTGTGGTAATGGGACTTGCACCAACCTTGCTGGCACCTTTCGCTGTGACTGCTTTACTGGATTTGAGAATGCTCCAATGATGATGGAGGTTTGTATTGGTAAGTAAGAGGAAATTCGAATACCATCCGACTCTCTTGACAATATAATCGGGCTTCCTTTGATACCCATCGTTTGTGCAAAGCTTCTCGGCGCCATCTTGAATTATCTTAAATTATGCGTCGTGGTAAGTTTAACCGAGAAATTAGCGCATTGATTGGGTTACATACGGGTCGTGAATGTTGGATATAGAGAGCGCGCCTGTCAGACCATTAATTAACAACCGCTGTGTTACATGGAGCTGGTTTGCTGAAATATCACGTGATACAGCATTGGTCCACACCGCGTGCGGAGGGACGGATACTACAGTGCCACATTCATACATTCTTACCGCCTCGTTTCTACACCCTTAAAAGCAATTTCCAAATATCAAGAAACGCACTTCATATTCCTTTATAAGGATTTTACGATACGAAAGTCATTTTCAATAGTATAGCCCCGCGTGCCGTGCTGTAGTTCATTGACTGAATGTAATTCACTGGACCGTGAAATATTTTCTTTCTTCAGACATCGATGAATGCGAGCGGGAGCCTTGTGCAAACGGCACATGCGTGAATACTGAAGGAAGCTATAAGTGCATTTGTCCGAACGGAATGGAACTTATGAAGGATGGCGTGACGTGTGAAGGTTAGTTATAAATTTCAACATCCTGACACTACTTGCTGACCGAAAGGCATTTCCTTAGCACCCTATACGGAGGTTTTACTTGGTAAATATATTTAGTTTCATCGATTGTGAGTGCCGAAGGAGAAAGAAAGAGGATAGCTTAAAGAAGTCAGAAATAATCATTATGTCATCTACTCTAAATAGAATAACACCATACCCAGAAAATAGATTCTGAGACTGAAAAGTAGAATGTATTAAACAAAGGGTCTTTACAAAACGCCAAATTCTCCTGAATAATCTGCAGGGAAATGAAAGACAACACGACGGAGAAGCATAGTTGGGATCTTAAGATTGACGCGTAAACTGGATACCGTGGGATTTATGTTATTGTGAATAAGTTGAAGATGCAGGCCTGTAGCAAACGCAGTGACTCATCTCGTTGACGTAACTAGAAAGCAATCACCAACTTGTTAACCTACAATTACTTTTATTTTCAGACGAAGATGAATGTTCAGATCCAAACAAATGCCGTAATGGTGTTTGTCAAAACTTCCGCGGAGGCTATCAGTGTTTGTGTGACCCTGGTTTCGTGGTCACGGAGGACATGAAGGCGTGTGTAGGTCAGTATCATAATTTTACATATGTTCTGCTGGTAGATAGGCTAGTCGCAGCTATTGAGTCACGCAAAGCTTAGTTAAAACATGAACAACGATACTTCATGAGAGAGTTACGTGACCTTTATGTTAGAAAATGGCCGCGAATGGACTTTATCTTTGAGATAAATGTTTTGCTATTCACCTGGGAAGAGATACCCAACAGCCGATAGAAAGTATTAGCTTGATGTTCTAGATAACATTTTTAAAAACTGGATCGATCATTGGATAATGCTATTCAAGAGTTTTCGTTGGCTCAGCCAATGAGCCAAACTTTTTCTGCAATAATATACTACACTGTTTTAGATTACCAAGAACATATGATATTCTAAACTTATTGTGTTAATGCTCACAGATATAGACGAGTGTCAAGTGGATAACGGTACCTGTCAGGAAGTGTGTAACAACACTCTTGGTAGCTTTGAGTGTGACTGTAGGGCAGGTTTCACGTTACAACCTGACGGAGTGACATGTGGAGGTACCGCTTATGCGCTATGAGTCTTAGATAAAACCTGAGTGTTTTTTTTTTTTTTTTTTTTTATCACAAATTGACTCAGTTCGGTTGCACAATTACTGCCGTCGAATAGCGAGTTATCAAATTTCCTGTTCAAATTTCTTGCATATTTACAAACTTCTTAGCATTTCCTTGTCTTTCTAAGATGCTCTTGGAAACTACTGTGACAGCGCAGGAACCCCAAACATAATGGCACACATACTCCCTTAGATTTTTCGAAAAAAAGGCAATTAAAATTTTGCGTGCCAAACGACCAAAATGCCGTTCTGCAGGAATCCTGATTGCTACTCCGAGATGATGAGTGCGCATTCACTGTACTCTTGATTACAGATATCAACGAGTGTTCGCTTGGCGTGGACATTTGCGGGACGGGGAACACGTGCAGGAACTCCGAAGGCGGGTACTATTGTACGTGTGGGCCTGGGTACGTGTCTGCTGTTGACAGGAGATCCTGCATTGGTAGGCTAAACTTACAAGCTGTCTTATATTTGGTTTCTGTTAGAAGGAATGTGGTAAAAATCGATGTAATGAAGAGAGACGATTAAGTTAAGATTGCAAATCCTTTATTTAGTCAGTCATGCAACTAAGATTTCATTTGTGTTACATGGGATAATTTTGCTCCATTTTCACCTTCAGACGTGGATGAATGTCAAAACGATCCTCAGCTTTGTATTAATGGTGTCTGTCGAAACACTCAAGGCTCGTTTGAATGTCTCTGTGGCATTGGATACGTTCTGGCTAAAGAGACAACTGCATGTATTGGTAGGTACCATGCCTAAAAAGAGGTTTGTTTGTGGTTAGTCTCCTTTGCACCTTTTAATTGTTGATATTGGTGGCATTTTTTCTAAGTGGGGGAGGGGGGAATGTCACACAACGCTTACTCAAAGCCTTAAGTGACGTACTGAAAGATGGCCTTAAAGGAGACCATGTTACCCCTTTCTCATCTAAAAAAAAAACTCAGCAAACTCTTTTTTTTCCTGTAAGTTCTTTGTAATGCGTGCCGGTGCTCTTCGTCTTTAATTAACCCAATCCATCTGTTTCTCTTCAGATGTTGATGAATGTAAGATAGACCTGCATCAATGCGGTGACAATGCTAACTGTACCAATAGTATTGGCAGCTTCACATGCGATTGTAAACCTGGATTCGCCGGAAGTGGCAATGAATGCATAGGTGAGTGCTTATAGAAAGAGACTTTTTCGTCAGCTAATTATGGTAAGAGTAAATCTATCAGCGAACTATCACAAATGTTGCAGTTTGATTGGCTACGCTATCCGAAAGTGGGTGGCACACGATTTCTTTATTTTCTTTTGCTTTTTTTACCCTTCATTTTAAACTAATTCGAACTTTGTTCGTGATATCATTTTCCAACACTCCCTTGACATTATCTTTCTTCGCCGCTCAGATATCGACGAGTGTGTAACAGGAGCTGCCAGGTGTCATGAGAACAGCATGTGTGTCAACATTCCAGGCTCTTTCAGTTGTGTATGTGGACCAGGTTACACAGGAGATGGTTCTTCCTGTAACGGTAAGCTATTATGATTTTTATTAAGTTTCTTGTAGGCTTCCTCAAGGCTAGTAAGGAGCATTCCAGTAAATTACGAACGGAAACACAGCTCCAAATTTGTACTTGACGGATTACTAAATGTAACCACGCGGTAGTTTTTCTGATGTAGTGGGTATTTAAAAAATTGTTTTTTTCCCAGGTAAAGCGATTGCAAAAGAAAGATAAATATGGGAAAATTTAATGAATGTGAAAGTCTCACACCGCTAATTGAGCATGCGTTTCTCATTTCGCAGGAAAGCATGTCTCATTTGTACGAGGACTGCTTTGGAAATACCTTTCCATACGTGAAACTTCCTTTCAAGTGGAACTAAGCACTATAAGATGCAACTCACAAACGCAAAAAAAAAAAAAAAAACGCGGCAGAATGGCCATGCGTTGCATAGGCGTCTACATTTAACTAACGTCACTTATGATGTTGTGCTTTTCAGATATCGACGAATGTCTACTGGAGGACAATCTTTGTGATCACGGACAGTGCACTAATAAAGCTGGCTCATATGAATGCGAATGTGAGCTTGGATATATACCAGCTGAAGATAAAAAGAGCTGTGTTGGTAAGTTAGTCTATCAACGGATCTCCCTATCGGTTACTCAAAAACAGCGCATTCTTTGGACCAACTTCATTCCAGCCACAGAAAACGTGAGCTCGATGCCCAAGCCGCTGGTCGGGATATGAGTCCGCGCTCCTCCTACTACTTGAATTATTCATGGTACTTTTGAGAAGTTTGTATAAGTTCCAAGGGGATTTCTGCAGAAGAGAGTTGTTCTCTAAAATCCTTCTGGTTCCTTAAAAAGGCTTCCACGCGTTAATGTTTTTATTCTATTTCTCCTAGATATCGATGAATGCAGAATGTTTCCATTGTGTAAAAATGGCCGGTGTGAAAACATGCCGGGAATGTTTCGTTGTGATTGTGATGATGGATTTCAGCTGAATAAACAAGGCATTAACTGTACAGGTACTGAGAGGGATTGTTCAAAAGTGACTTGCCGAACACTGAAAAATCACTACGTCAAGGAAAATAAATTAAATACGTCTTCTTTTACATTTTTCTCAGACATCGATGAATGCTCTGTGACGGGAATGTGTATAAACGGTCGCTGCGTAAACGAAATGGGTACATACCGCTGTGAATGCGACGGCGACTTCATGCCAAACCCTGCGGGTTCAGGATGCATTGGTAAAAAATTACTATTTTAATTTTAAAAGTATTTTGATTTCAGTTTAGCAGTCTTTCGAGACATTTTGTTCTATGATTACTACATTCTAGGTGAGTATTTCCGCTGACCTCTTTCATAGGTTCTTTCTTGCTTTTGGGAAGAGAACAGGAAGGCCTTGAGAACGAAGTGTAGTTGCGCGTATTTCGGAATACCCCAATAAATTACTTTAATATTATCTTAAAACAAAGCCGGTAGTCTTGATTTGCATCTTCTTTCACAGATATGCGAAAAGGGAAGTGTCATTTAAGTGTTGTGAATGACACTTGTATGAACCCGCTACCCTCTGCTTTTCGCGCCGTGTGCTGTTGTACGTCAGGAAAAGCCTGGGGAGAACCGTGCGAACCGTGTCCTCAGAAGGGGACTGGTAAGATTGTGACTTTGTCTTATGTCTAGAGGCATGGTGAAAAAGTTCTAAAGAGACCGAACTATCCTATTTCAGCTAAGTATTAAACTTAGAAGTTTGCAAGATGGAAAAATCGATACTTTTAAGGGAGGCTCTGTTGTCTAAGCGGGAAATCTACCATTGATTTCGCTCTTGTTGTCACGTGTTCGCGCTTTATTCATATATTACTCTTAACATATCCATGTTCATCTTCCCTTTCAGAGGAGTTTCTCCGGCTCTGTCCCGGTGGGATAGGATTTGTACCCGATCCTTTCACTCTTGTCATCAAGGGTAGGTTCTTTATAATTTAATCGCATTCCAAGAACTTTCAATATCAGTTTTTTCTTAACATAATATTTGTTTGACGTGTTTTGTTTGTAATCATCTCACAGATGTGGACGAATGCCGGGAGCTCCCGGGGGTATGTAGTCAAGGCCGATGTCTAAACACTCTTGGAAGCTATGATTGCTTCTGTCCTAAAGGGTTCAAACACGACATTTCTTCTGGAAAATGCATTGGTAAGATGAGATTCATTTTTAATTATTCGTTCGGTTATATTTCATGTACTCCATCTCCGCCATATTGCCTTCTTTTTCTTTTACTGACGGTTCGTGTTCTCAACTATTTCTCTTGTGGAAAGCTTTTCTGAGTTATCTTCCGTTTTCTTTAGATGTCGACGAGTGCAAAGAACTAATTTTCATTTGTGGCCTTGATGGGATATGCATCAACACAAACGGAAGTTATGAGTGTGTCTGCCCCGAAGGACAAAAACCAAACCCGGACGATAAACGCTGTGAAGGTAAGCGACCTTCCTAAAGGTTTTCGCGCTCTTTCTTTTGGACTTTTTCATCCGCCACCTGATATCAATATCTCTTTTTTCTTTTTGGTATTTCGTTATTGATGTAGAAAATGAAGTAAGTCAGACGGTTTCTTTTTGTCTCAACTTGATTTTCAAAATTCGGTGTCCTGTCCTGTCAGTTCTGACACCTGACAGAACTGGTTCTTGCCGAACTGGCACAACCTTTAAAAGAAAATCAGGTTTCCATTTCCTGCGCGGAACAACTGCGAAACGTGCGAAATTTTTGACCAAACAATAATGTAGAAGATCTTTAAATCAATTTTCAACTCTTTTGGCTTTGAAAGCACGCCGAGACCACAAACCACACAACCGTACACACACAGAATAGACTTTCGCTTTCCATTAACTTCAGAAATGATCAACTACGTATACTTTGTTTAAGCTGAGACTGATAAATGCAAAGCGTATCGAGTTTATTGATTGTTATTATTTTTTTTAGACAATCGACCGCAAGAGTGTTTCATGGAAGTGGAGAATGAAGCGGCCTTAAATCCTGTTTGCAAGGGAAAGTTTTCCAAGAACGTGACGAGGGCCGATTGTTGTTGTACTGGGGTGGGCGCAGCGTTTGGCGCAGAGTGCAAGCTGTGTCCTAAGAATAATTCAAGTAAATTCAAGAACAAATTCTCCTGAATACTTTCTTGTGGCTCTTTTGAATATACTAGGAGAAATTGGTTTTATCTTTAAGCTCTAGGTTGCCATTTTCTCATGGCCAAGGAACGTCTGTGGTGCTAATGCAAAACTTCGGTCATGTTAATAGGTCTGTTTCTAACCAGGCACGCTATCATTTCCTAAAATTTAGACTTAGGAATTCTTAAGAAATTCCGGTAGCGATCTGGTTAGGTTTCAAGTAGGCTTCAAAACCATTTCTGTTTGGTCCCTCCCAGAAGAGAAGACCAAAAACACGTCAAAAAAATGAAATGAAGATTCAATCATTTGATAACACGCTCCCTGTCTATTTTTAATAAACAGCAGTAACGCAACTCATCTTTCTTTGAAGAAAAGAGAAACACGTAATACCATCATGTCTCAAACATTTTTCCTTTAATTAATTTTTTTGGTAAGAGGTTTAGGCTAAAACGTCACGGTATTGTATGACTTACGCTTATCGAAGCTGTTGCGTGAATTATCATAGGACCTACGTACATTACCCATATTACAACAGCTCTCCCCGCTTTTTGCTTGATAATTTTTTTTTCTTTGTATTCCACGTCCACAGTCGAATGGACAGCCTTGTGCCTGGCCATAACACATGTGACACCAACGACGGGCAGTGAAATAACTGGTCCCACTTCCGAACCCTCCGGGGTCGTTCGCCCTCCTGAAGGGGTTACGACCCCATCAACCACAGCCAAGCCTGTGACACCATCACCAAGAGGTAAGAGCTTGGCACCTTGTATAGAAAACAGAAAAGCCACTTGGGTTACAATTCATATCTGCTTAAAAAGACAATCTCTGATCCCAACTGTTTCTCAAAATTTAAGCTTTCGGCCTTCAATCTGAACCGTTGAAAAACTACGATATAAATGCGCGAGAGAGAGTGTGCATGCCAAATGAAAGTGTGAAGATTATATTTAAACGAAGAAAACCAAAACAAAACAACAACAAAAAGAACAAAGTTACATAAAAAAATAGTACAATATCGTTGTGGAAAAGGCTTGTGGTGTGCCATATACGTTTCTAGAATTCTTTTTTTACTACCCCGGCATCTATATAGTAATTTTTTTATGCTAAAAATATTACAAGTATTAATTTCGATTTTCATTTTATCTTTCATAAGAGGTAGGAAATTCGCCCCTCTTGAGTTTGATTTGATTATTAAGGAGTACTTTTCGATTATTGAATTGTTTGTTGCAGTCGTGAATGAGTGCGAACTGTTTCCAGAGTTATGTTTGTACGGAAAATGCATCGACACGCGAAACAGCTACAGATGTGAATGTCCGCTTGGCTACAAGCTAAACCCACGAGGTGTAATGTGTAAAGGTAGATATGGCATTAATTCTCACTCTACATCATACTGGTTGAGTTACAAATTGTTTCTAGAGCACTGTAAGGATCAAAAGCCTTCAACTGCAACCGTAGCCTGTTCCCTATTGGCTGGTAATAGTTCTGAAGAGACCAATAACGAGCAATCTTTAACGCCTGACGTAGACTGCTGATCAACATGGTACTCAAAGTACCGCCAAACTGACCACATCTGGAAAAATCGAAAATCATCTCGGTTTTCTTCTTTAACTTATAGTTCTTCTTTTAAGCTTGCAGGTATATCAGTAACTGCGTTGTTTTTCCTCTCAAACAGATGTGGATGAATGCCAGATGTCTCCTTGTAAGAATGGCACCTGTCGAAACACCTTTGGCAGTTTCCTATGTACTTGTCCAGATGGATCAAAACTCGATATTACAGGACTGGCCTGCGTAGGTAAGTAAAGTTTGTTTGCGCTAATTTTGTAGCTTCTCATTTCTTATCCATCCTGTATACCTAGCCACCTTGCACGTCCCCTCTTCAAATCTCCCCCCCCCCCTATTACCTTGTCAATTCTATTTTTCTCATTTTTCCTCTTCTATCCTCTTCCCATCCATCTCTCTCTATTCTCCTTTTCTTTTTCCTGTTTTCAGGGCGATAATTTCTTTCTTTCCTCTAAGCTTCTTTTCCATCTGAGAAACTTTACCACGGTCGAAAGCTGGTCATTGTGGTCTTAATTTAATTATCAATTGCTGATCGTTATAGCATGAGGCGCTTGTCAATTGCAAAGCGCTTCTCGGCAAGTTTTTTATAAGTTTAACGCCGATTGTGTGAAACACGCAGAAGCAGTTGTGTTTTCTGCTCTTACGGAGACCTCAACCAGTTGTCCATGTAAGTTTCGAAACCTCTCAATAACTTACTAACCTGCGGTTTTGATCCATGATATCTTTCAAGATCTAGACGAATGTCTTGAACCAGGATACTGTGAACGTGGGCGATGCGAAAATTTTATCGGTGGCTTTGATTGCCGGTGTAACAGAGGATATCAGATAACAACTGACGGAAAGACGTGTGTAGGTGGGTGGATAAAGTACTGATAAAATCTTGGTGTGCTGCTATTAATGGTTTACATTGCCACTAGTGCTCTTATGATTTCAGAATACCATAGAGCCAAAGTCGGTCACCGATAACCTGGTGTAGGATCCGCCTGTTCAGCTTGAAAAGGCATAAAACACTAGGCGGCGACTGTTCATAACACTCACGCAGTGGGTGTATCTAAATTTGGGTGCTTTCCGTCTGGAACAAATAATTTGATTAGTTAACATTTTATTTATGTTTTGAATTAAGATTGTGATAAGTATAACGACGACTTAGCGGGATACATTTTCATGATAACTTAATTCTTTCGCAGCTTTTACTAAACTTTGCCTCATTTTCTTCTAGATGTGGACGAGTGCTCGCAGATCAGCGGTATTTGTGTCAACGGGACGTGCATCAACACACAGGGATCTTTCCGTTGCAATTGCTTTAATGGATTTAGGCTTGACCGTCGAGGCTACTGTAAAGGTCAGTTGTAAGAATTAAACAGATTAAGGATAGTTTCCATGTCTGTGTATTCTGCAATGCTTGAACTTAGAAAAATTAGATAAGAGAGAGAAGGGAAGGAAGAAATGGGAAAGAAAGAAGTGGGAAAAAGAAGGAATGGAAAAAAAAAAAGAACAAATTTCATGCTCTGGTAATACTAGTTATTACTGAGGTATTTGTTGAGTTATCTGGGGCCCATTAAATGTTGTTGCCTGAACGTAATGGATCTCAAGCCGGTATGTGATTGAAAATTGCTAAAGCCAAAGCCAAAGAATATTCAAGGTTCGCAGGTCTAGCTTATTTCACAAACAAATATCCGAGCAAATTTTACACAAAATGGAGGCTACTGGAACTATTCAGATATTGAAAACTAAATTAAACTTTTACATAACTTTCACTATATTAATAGTAAATTGGTACTATATTAATATAAATCAGTTTACCTGTGTTTAATTATCTGTTTTCATCCTTTTCTTGGTTTATTTTTCTGGTTCATTTTAAGATATTGATGAGTGTTCAGCCGTTGTTGGTGTATGTCGAAATGGACGATGTACTAATACTATTGGCGGCTTCAGTTGCGATTGTATCCCAGGATACACCGTCACCCCTGACAGAATGCGATGCAGAGGTTGGTGGCATGCTTTTCATGTGCCTTGAGCAATATTTCTCGTGTCATTGAAGGCGATTGGAGTGTATGGCTGTGTTATACTTCCCACAATCTGCGCTTGCTTCTTGTAAAACTGATAAAACCTTGAACTTCTGAAATATTTCGTCATTTTTGATGTGTTTTGATCCATTAAATCAGACATGAGAGCAAACCACAAGTTAATTACCCTTTGCTGAGTAGTTACTTACGGCTGAATGAGCTCTCTACATAAAAACATCACATAAGTGTTTGGCGCTCTCCCTTTTTTGATTCTAAAAGTAAGGTTTGTTCATCTTCCAAAGTTGCGTTTGCTTCTTGAACCGTTCATTTGGTAAATATAATCTTCATTTACTGCAATTCAAAAATAAACCCAATGCTTTATTTCCTCAGATATCGACGAGTGTACAGAAGTGCCACGATTTTGTGAGAATGGTATTTGTACCAATACCATCGGTGGTTCACGGTGCGAGTGCATGACGGGATTTAAACTGAACGAGGCAGGGGGTGCTTGTCAAGGTAAGTGTCTGCTTTGCCACTTTCTTCTTATATCTCGAGGGTATTGTTTTGTTGTAGGTGCTGGTTGGGAAAAATCTACTAGTTCAAGCGAAATTATATTGATATCCACAAGGGATTCGGATCTTTGCTACATTTTTGTATTATTCTCGCCATGAGTTTCAAAGAGCCACTCGCACGTTGTTGGGTTTAATTTCTTTTGGTTTATTCTTTCAGATGTAAATGAGTGTGATGAAAATCCGAACTATTGTCAAGTTGGTGGTCAATGTGTGAACACAGAGGGAAGCTACCGCTGTCTCTGTAATAAAGGTTACGAAGTTGGTAACGGTGGAAGCCACTGCATTGGTAAGGGCCTTGCAATGCTCTTGTAACTCAGTACTATGAAACCATCCACTCATCCAACTTTTATTCTCTCCATTTCTCTTCCTCTTTCCCTCTCTTCATTCGCATCTATTCATTTATCCATCTATTATCCATCCGATGGTTCATTCATCTTTTCCTTCCATCCATCCATCCATCCATCCATCCTGCCTCCCTCCCTTCTTTCCCTCATTCAGTTCCCCATTAATTTATTCACTCATTCATCATCTTGCTGAGTCATTCATTGATACGTTATTCTTGCTTCTTAAGTCCTTGTACATCGTATGATCATCTACTTGATAGTTTTTCATTTTCTCCCGAACACGCCAGCACCCAGTCAATTTGTTTCAATTTCAATTCAACAGATGTGCGAGTGGGTTACTGCTTTGAAAAGTTTGACGAGGAAGGGTGCACTAAACCTAATAGTCGCGAGATGAGAAAAGCCATGTGCTGTTGTACCGTTGGAGCCGGCTGGGGTGACCCATGTGAACTGTGCCCGCAGAAGAATACCTGTGAGTATACTGCTATGGTATAACACACCGTGGTTAGTAAATTCTACAAATATGAAAAACAGTTAGTCTACGTTTCCAAGAAAATGTTTGGAAAACTTACGTAGTGGAAACTACGGAACACCTCTAAGTTACAGTACATCGAGCAATGTTCTCTGTCCCTTATTTCAAGGGATTCGAGTGGTTGCTTGAGCTGAGTATATCTTATTAGGGCTTCGAGGTTTGAAGATGAGACATCTTCAAGAATTATGCCGACTGAATAATTAAACATTTTCTCAGAGCGTTTAAATGCTATTTATGTGCCATGGTTCGGTATTTTTAATAGCCCATCCCAGGTTTATGTAGACTTTGATAAGAATGAAGAACGACTCATTTCTATGAAGTGGAATACTTCTTAAAGCTAGAGCTATGCAAAAACTGAACATCGCACATTGCTTTTGAATTATTTACTTTGTAGTGGATGTTTACCTATACTAACGTGACGTTAAATATGCGGGAAAGATTTGCTTGAAGAAAACCACAGCTGAACGCACTAAGGCAAAGCTGATGGAATCCTTCGACTCCCAATTTGAAATTTACTCTCTAAGACGTTCACATTGTTTTTCAGCTGCGTTTACCCAATTGTGTCCCAATGGTGTTGGATTTGTAATGAACAGGCACGGTGTTACAGGTAAGATATAGTACATACGCGAAGGAGGCGTGCGAAATCAGGCGGAGGCGTGCGAAATCGGGCTGAGGCGTATGAAATCAGACGGAGGCGCGCGAAATCGGACGGCGCGCAAAATCGTCCAAAACAAAACCAGTTACCTTTTCAAGAATCGGTTCGTCACGAATTTACTTGACCCAAAATTCCTGCTGGAGCATTTAGCAGTACCTCACAGATATTTATAACCGCCGCCTGGTTAGCTCAATTGGGAGAGCGCCGGACTGCTGTGCGGGAGGTCGAGAGTTCAATACCGGCCGGACCAACACTCAGGGTCTTAAAATTAACTGAGAAGAATATGCTTCCTTTCTTTAACATCAAGAAATGGTTAGATATTCTAGTCTTCTCGGATAGGGACGAATAAATGGAGGTCCCGTCTCCTGCAGGGTTAGGGGCAGGAGACGTTAATTTCCCACGCACGAGATTACTGTGTGATGGATGTCCTCCC